TTCTTGGTTCACTAGCGGTCTTAGAGCTTTTTCTAGAAATCTGCGCTCACTCCATACCATAAGAAAATTCACTGACTGTCCAGCTTTTCACCGTTATTTTAATTCTTATCGTTCCTTCTATCGTCGTCTTATAAAGATCTCAAAACAGTTCCATTATTCCGATCGTTTAAATAGGGCTGCAAACAAGTCAAGAGAAAGCTGGAGGATTATCAATAGTAATATAACTAGTGCAATGGAAATTATTGATAATTTTTGGGAAATTTGCTCGAATGCATTTTTAGTTGTTAGTTAAAAACGCATGAGTGCAAATTTGTCGAAAATTATAAATATATTTCCATTGCACGAGTTGTATTTAATGAGAGAATTTCATAAATCAAAAATTTAAATTTTTTGTCAAAAAATGTCAAAACACCAGTTTTCGCACCAGTTAGTATGCAATTATCTGATAATTTGCACTAGTGCAAATTATCGCGTAATTACAATCTGATTGGTTCAAATCAACAATCAAAACATGTCAATTTATTGTTGGAATACCAGTTTTGACAGATGTATGAAATTCTCAATGATATCCGTCCAAATTGCAATGATCAGTCGACGGCAACCCCTGATATCTCTGCCAGTGAAATAAATGAGTTTTTCTCCTGGTATCGCCCAAAAGCTCCGGCAAAATATCAATCCCACGAGGGCTCCGCGATCCGCTAGGCTTCTTGCAGAATACTGATCCTCAGAACTCATTTTTCTTCATGCCCACCGACTTGATGAAACTGAAGGAAATAATACATTCCATAAAAAACAGGAATTCAGCTGGCGGGGATGGCCTTTCTGTAGAAATATTCCTCAACTTGACGGATGTTGCTCTGCTGGTGCTGGTTGATGCTATTAATGCTTCGTGGACAAATGACACATTTCCACCGTGTTTGAAATATGCGAAAGTCATACTAATTCATAAGACTGGAACGCTCGATGATCCTTCTAATTTCAGACCCATATCTCTTTTGTCTACACTGTCAAAAATCATTGAAAGGATGGTCGTGTTGTATCCTTTTTGAAATCCAACGGTATTCTCAGCAGGTTTCAGTTTGGCTTTCAGGAAAACAAAAGCACTAATGGTGCCATGTACTGTTTTCTCTATGAACTGTATTGCCAGATTAAAGATGGTGGAGTTTCCGCCGCATTGTTTTGTGACTTGTCAAAAGCGTTTGACTGTGTCAGCCACGAGATTCTGCTTCGTAAACTCTACCTTATGGCTTTAGAGACGTGGCATCAATCTGGTTCTCGTCTTATCTGACGGGTCGTCGTCAGCGAGTGTTTGTGGGCTCTGAGTGCTCCGAATGCCGTTCGGTGGCGTGCGGAGTTCCGCAGGGCTCTGTTCTGGGACCATTGCGTTTTCTTCTTGTATACTTTTATAATTATTGCAGGTCTGTTACTAAGGCTTGCTTATATTATAACAGTCTCAACGGTTTGACAGTGGTTTTGGGTTCAGAAAGATACCTAGTGAACGAATTGAACTAAGTCCAACTGATTGAATCTAGCCGGAAAATGATTATTTTTGGTAATTATTGTAGATTTATTTAGTATCCTATCAGGAAATGAGCGATGGCGAGATATTTGTTAATTTGAACGATATGCAAAGAGCAGCTGGAGTTAACCTTTTTAGTCCAGATGAGTAAGAAAATCTATGGTTTTGCGTTTGGCATATTTTTTCTAAATGATATTTTTCCAGCAAAGTACGAGAAGAAATTGAGGCTTAAATATTTGATTATTTCATGGAGTGTGTAATTGAATCAAGAAGGATTTTCTCGGAAGAACAGATCATTGATTCATTTGAAAGGTAATTTTCAATGTTTGATAATTGGCAGAGTTTTATTCTTAATGGAATTTTAGGATAAGGACTAAGTTAATTTATACCGGCACGGGGCGCTTGATAAAGGACGCAAGACGTCCTACTCAAGCCAAGGAACGTGGTGTCGGGATGGAAATTGGATGGGTGGTAATTCTTCAGTCAGTCCTACCGGCTAGGCGGCAATGGCAAGTACAGTTGCCTATAGGGGCCATGTGGTTTATAGCGACGGAAAAGTTATATCCCATCAGGAAATGAGCGATGGCGAGATATTTGTTAATTTGAACGATATGCAAAGAGCAGCTGGAGTTAACCTTTTTAGTCCAGACGAGTAAGAAAATCTATGGTTTTGAGTTTGGCATATTTTTTTCTAATTGATATTTTTCCAACAAAGTACGAGAAGAAATTGAGGCTTAAATATTTAATTATTTCATGGAGTGTGTAATTGAATCAAGAAGGATTTTCTCGGAGGAACAGATCATTGATTCATTTGAAAGGTAATTTTCAATGTTTGATAATTGGCAGAGTTTTATTCTTAATGGAATTTTAGGATAAGGACTAAGTTATTTTATACCGGCACGGGGCGCTTGATAAAGGACGCAAGACGCCCTACTCAAGCCAAACAACGTGGTGTCGGGATGGAGATTGGATAAGTGGTACTTCTTCAGTCAGTCCTACCGGCTAGGAGGCAATGGCAAGTACGGTTGCCTATAGGGGCCATGTGGTTGATAGTGACGGAAAAGTTATATCCTATCAGGAAATGAGCGATGGGGAGATATTTGTTAATTTGAACGATATGCAAAGAGCAGCTAGAGTTAAGCTTTTAAGTCCAGACGAGTAAGAAAATCTATGGTTTTGAGTTTGGCTTTTTTTTTCTAATTAATATTTTTCCAGGAAAGTACGAGAAGAAATTGGGGCTAAAATATTTAATTATTTCATGGAGTGTGTAAATGAATCAAGAAGGATTTTCTCGGAAGAACAGATCATTGATTCATTTGGAAGGTAATTTTCAATGTTTGATAATTGACAGAGTTTTATTCTTAATTGAATCTTAGGGTAAGGACCAAGTTATTTTATACCGGCACGTTGGCGCTTGATAAAGGACGCAAGACGCCCTACTAAAGCCAAGCAACGTGGTGTCGGGATGGAGATTGGATGGGTGGTAATTCTTCAGTCAGTCCTACCGGCTAGGCGGCAATGGCAAGTACGGTTGCCTATAGGGGCCATGTGGTTGATAGCGACGGAAAAGTTATATCCCATCAGGAAATGAGCGATGGCGAGATATTTGTTAATTTGAACGATATGCAAAGAGCAGCTGGAGTTAACCTTTTTAGTCCAGACGAGTTAGAAAATCTATGGTTTTGAGTTTGGCATATTTTTTTCTAATTGATATTTTTCCAGCAAAGTACGAGAAGAAATTGAGGCTTAAATATTTAATTATTTCATGGAGTGTGTAATTGAATCAAGAAGGATTTTCTCGGAGGAACAGATCATTGATTCATTTGAAAGGTAATTTTCAATGTTTGATAATTGGCAGAGTTTTATTCTTAATGGAATTTTAGGATAAGGACTAAGTTATTTTATACCGGCACGGGGCGCTTGATAAAGGACGCAAGACGCCCTACTCAAGCCAAACAACGTGGTGTCGGGATGGAGATTGGATGAGTGGTACTTCTTCAGTCAGTCCTACCGGCTAGGAGGCAATGGCAAGTACGGTTGCCTATAGGGGCCATGTGGTTGATAGTGACGGAAAAGTTATATCCTATCAGGAAATGAGCGATGGGGAGATATTTGTTAATTTGAACGATATGCAAAGAGCAGCTAGAGTTAAGCTTTTTAGTCCAGACGAGTAAGAAAATCTATGGTTTTGAGTTTGGCTTTTTTTTTCTAATTAATATTTTTCCAGGAAAGTACGAGAAGAAATTGGGGCTAAAATATTTAATTATTTCATGGAGTGTGTAAATGAATCAAGAAGGATTTTCTCGGAAGAACAGATCATTGATTCATTTGGAAGGTAATTTTCAATGTTTGATAATTGACAGAGTTTTATTCTTAATTGAATCTTAGGGTAAGGACCAAGTTATTTTATACCGGCACGTTGGCGCTTGATAAAGGACGCAAGACGCCCTACTAAAGCCAAGCAACGTGGTGTCGGGATGGAGATTGGATGGGTGGTAATTCTTCAGTCAGTCCTACCGGCTAGGCGGCAATGGCAAGTACGGTTGCCTATAGGGGCCATGTGGTTGATAGCGAGGGAAAAGTTATATCCCATCAGGAAATGAGCGATGGCGAGATATTTGTTAATTTGAACGATATGCAAAGAGCAGCTGGGGTTAACCTTTTTAGTCCAGATGAGTAAGAAAATCTATGGTTTTGAGTTTGGCATATTTTTTCTAAATGATATTTTTCCAGCAAAGTACGAGAAGAAATTGAGGCTTAAATATTTGATTATTTCATGGAGTGTGTAATTGAATCAAGAAGGATTTTCTCGGAAGAACGGATCATTGATTCATTTGAAAGGTAATTTTCAATGTTTGATAATTGGCAGAGTTTTATTCTTAATGGAATTTTAGGATAAGGACTAAGTTAATTTATACCGGCACGGGGCGCTTGATAAAGGACGCAAGACGTCCTACTCAAGCCAAGCAACGTGGTGTCGGGATGGAGATTGGATGGGTGGTAATTCTTCAGTCAGTCCTACCGGCTAGGCGGCAATGGCAAGTACGGTTGCCTATAGGGGCCATGTGGTTGATAGCGACGGAAAAGTTATATCCCATCAGGAAATAAGCGATGGCGAGATATTTGTTAATTTGAACGATATGCAAAGAGCAGCTGGAGTTAACCTTTTTAGTCCAGACGAGTAAGAAAATCTCTGGTTTTGAGTTTGGCATATTTTTTTCTAATTGATATTTTTCCAGCAAAGTACGAGAAGAAATTGAGGCTTAAATATTTAATTATTTCATGGAGTGTGTAATTGAATCAAGGAGGATTTTCTCGGAAGAACAGATCATTGATTCATTTGAAAGGTAATTTTCAATGTTTAATAATTGGCAGACTTTTGTTCTTAATGGAATTTTAGGATAAGGACTAAGTTATTTTATACCGGCACGGGGCGCTTGATAAATGACGCAAGACGCCCTACTCAAGCCAAACAACGTGGTATCGGGATGGTGATTGGATGGGTGGTAATTCTTCAGTCAGTCCTGCCGGCTAGGCGGCAATGGCAAGTACGGTTGCCTATAGGGGCCATGTGGTTGATAGCGACGGAAAAGTTATATCCTATCAGGAAATGAGCGATGGCGAGATATTTGTTAATTTGAACGATATGCAAAGAGCAGCTGGAGTTAACCTTTTTAGTCCAGACGAGTAAGAAAATCTATGGTTTTGAGTTTGGCATATTTTTTTCAATTGATATTTTTCCAGCAAAGTACGAGAAGAAATTGAGGCTTAAATATTTAATTATTTCATGGAGTGTGTAATTGAATCAAGAAGGATTTTCTCGGAAGAACAGATCATTGATTCATTTGAAAGGTAATTTTCAATGTTTGATAATTGGCAGAGTTTTATTCTTAATGGAATTTTAGGATAAGGACTAAGTTAATTTATACCGGCACGGGGCGCTTGATAAAGGACGCAAGACGTCCTACTCAAGCCAAGCAACGTGGTGTCGGGATGGAGATTGGATGGGTGGTAATTCTTCAGTCAGTCCTACCGGCTAGGCGGCAATGGCAAGTACGGTTGCCTATAGGGGCCATGTGGTTGATAGCGACGGAAAAGTTATATCCCATCAGGAAATGAGCGATGGCGAGATATTTGTTAATTTGAACGATATGCAAAGAGCAGCTGGAGTTAACCTTTTTAGTCCAGACGAGTAAGAAAATCTATGGTTTTGAGTTTGGCATATTTTTTTCAATTGATATTTTTCCAGCAAAGTACGAGAAGAAATTGAGGCTTAAATATTTAATTATTTCATGGAGTGTGTAATTGAATCAAGAAGGATTTTCTCGGAAGAACAGATCATTGATTCATTTGAAAGGTAATTTTCAATGTTTGATAATTGGCAGAGTTTTATTCTTAATGGAATTTTAGGATAAGGACTATGTTATTTTATACCGGCACGTGGCGCTTGATAAAGGACGCGAGACGCCCTTTTCAAGCCAAACAACATGGTGTCGGAATGGAGTTTGGATGGGTGACCGTTAACTGACTAGCTGTTCGTGTGTCCAGAAATTTTTATCAATTGTTGTTCTGCTACTCATCCCTTGTTGCTGTTGGCAGTAATTTTGTATCCAAATTTATCTTTAAGTATAAGTTTTTAAGTCAATAAAGTCCTGTTTTTGAAGTAAATTTACTAACTTGGCAAACATTATATTCTGAATATTTTCTGGAAATAAGCACACTCAAATTAGAAAAATGATGTAACTTGGCGATCCTTGTATTTTTATTATACTGTCACAGAAACGGGGCGCGTTCGCCAGCATGTAACAGAATTCACGTGCTCCTCCGCCACGGTATTTAGAAAAAGTCTGCTTTTTCTCGGGCATGGGATTATCGCGTGTGTTCTGGATTTTACGCGAATAGATTGCAGATATATAAAGGCCGGTTTAAGTTTGTAATTTTTAGGTTCATGTTTGGCTGTTATACGATTTAGTTAGTTATTATTGTTGAGAGTTGTAAAGAGTTTAGTTGTTGAGTTAATTAGTGAAGTAATAAGTATCGGAGTGTATTGTAACGTGGAATAAATTTTGTTACCCCGGTAACGTGGATAAATTATGTTACCCCGGAAGTGACTTTATACCCGATTTTGACTCTGATAGTGAATTTTCGAGTGGGTTCTAGAAAATTCTATTTGGAAACCAATGGAGATATCGAATTTGTGACTTCACCGACGTGTTTGGTATATCAATCGATATCCAGAAAAGACATTTCAAGAAAATTGTAGAATATTCTATTCGAGAATACAGCAATTTATCCAATTTGTGACTTCACCGGCGTATTTGGAACTTCAATCAAAGACCAGGGAAGATATTTGAAGAGAGTTTGAGGGAAATTCCAGAACATCCTGTATATGCCTATTTCTTTCCATCCCCGTATATGATATAGAAACGAATCGTTCAATAACGGTAATACGTCAGATGTATTCCTGAAGAATCACGCTACAATCTGTAAAAAATTCATGGAAATCGAGAGAAAATAGATGTCAAACTTAGTGTAAATTTTGTCCGTCCCCTAATTTTGCTGGTGTGTGTATTTTCATTTTATCCATGAACCCATTAAATTTATTGTCATGTAATAATAACTTCTAATTTCAGGACAGACAGCCCAGACAACCCCCCAAAGTTGGAAATTCCAGCCAAGAAAACTAGCCTTTGACAGATTGGGATTATTCGTTGATAAACCACATGCCTAGCAGGGCAATGCAGCCATGGCAGCTAAATAGAGAATTTAATACAAGCATGTCATCATACTATATTAAGTAAAAAATTCGTATTAAATGTTATTCCTTTCATCTCAAATTGAAAATATATTCTACAGGATAATATGTCTTCTATATAGGAAAAACAACTCTATACTCTATACTCTATTCCTATGCACAATATATCAAAATGATGATAGATATAAATGAATGATTTGCTTTCTAACATCTGCTAATTATGATGATACAGAAAGTAAGTAGCCAATGTGAATTTCTAATAAATTTAAATGATTAGTGTTGCCAATTTAAAGCGTTCTATATGATATTTCAATGTGAAAATATTTATTGCAGCTTTTCATTTGTAGGACATGATTTATTAAAGAATTGAAAAAAAGAAACAACTATAGTTTTCAGTAAATCCAATTTTTGTCTACTTTGAGGGATTTTGGAAATATAGGTTTTTGAGAAACATGTCCATATACCACTTTGCAATAAGATTGGGAGGCATAGTTTAAAAGGGATTTTCAAAAATGCTGCTACCATTACTCTTCGCACTTATCCTTAAGATAAACAAAATATCCAATATCTTCTCGATTATAATATTACTAACATAATCGAGCGTTCTGGCATATTTCACCATCAATTAGGTCAAGCCCGACTTTCTAACGATCGATTTACACTCTTATCATTCTTAAATATTTCTATTTTCGAGAAAGTTACACTTAATTCGCCAGAGATATCAAAGCTCAATACCCTTGTGTCAATTATATCGGAGAGAGAGTGATAAAACCGATAAAGAATTCTAGTCAAGATGCAAAGAACCTTTAGATCTGATAGATGAAAATCTTGCTACGTTAAAAGAAAAATATGATTCTATTTGTCATTTAACCGGTCACAATCAAATTCTTTTAAGACAAAAACGAGGTCTCATGGATGGAGTTTTGCATGCCCTAAAATGGCTTTTTGGTACTCCTGATGTAGACGATGCACAATTTTACTCTCATGCAATTTCCTCAATGGCACAACAGACTGACAACATGCATAAATTAACGAAACAATAAGTACCTACATATTTTATCAGACGCACTGTAACGGGCCAAAATTGCATAAACATTTCTTACCTACTTTCAATTTTATATTCAAGATTTCCTTAAGTTTTTCAACATTTTCTCTCAATTTCAATTGTCGTCAGATTTCCTAATTTTCCATAGTCAAATTCTATTTGCTGTGATAGTTTTTTTCCTCATTTAAATCCATATTTTAATTCAATTCTAAATCAAAACAAAGCCATGTTTTGATTACTATTTTAAATTCGATCATCTGTTTCATCCAAAAATAATTAATTCATCTGTCAAAAGTATGTCGTGTTCCGTAATCGTGATGTACCGTTTTCAGGTGGATGTACCGAGCTACTCCGTTCGTACTAACTGTTCCGGTTGTGGAGCGCTATCGATCTCGGCGCAAATTCGAGCGAACCCAGAGTTGCGCATTGGTTCGATGTCCTTTGAGACATCTGGAACGCACCCTTTGATTTCGTTTCTTTGACTTTTGATTGTCAAAAATTTCTGTCAACCAGCGGTGGAGTAGTGATGTTTTCAGTATCGTCGATTCTTCCTTGAGCTCTCTAATTTTGAAAACGGAACACTTACTATATTTTGTATTCTTCAAGTTTTGATTGTTTTATGGGATAATTATTGGTTGTTGATATCATTATTCATCAGCCGTTGTTATTTTTCTCAGTTTATATTGTTGTGTGCAATTTTTGGTAAGTGGGAATTCTGTCGATTGGTTGTTGTTGTTTGTCGTTGTTCTCGATCATCTCTAAGTCTGAATTCCTTCCTTTGGCTTAGGTTAGTTTATTAATTGAATGTGGAGCACATTTTCTTTCACATCTGGACGTTGGAGAATTAGGGTCTTTATGAAGATTGCCTTCGCCTTTTTGGGATTTCGACCCTAAATTCTCATTTGAAGTTATAACATTTTAGTTGCCTTCATGCCTTACGTTTTCGTAGTGTTATAATTTTCGCCGATTTATTCGGATTTTTACAACTCCATGTGTGGTAAGCTGCTTACACGTTTTTTTCCTATAGTAGATTCTGACTTTTTCAATTTATTTAGTTGAAAGCTGCCCTAAGGAGTAGAGAATTCTCACTCTCTCTAGGAAATCCAATCCTCGATCCAGATTTCCGGAGATTTTCGAGGCCGACACCCTAATTCCATCAGGTAAAAAAAACATAACCTTATAACAATTTTTGCAAACTCAAGACACATTTTTCTCAATTGCTATCAGGGCCTTATTATGATTCAATCTGATTTAATTAATTAATACCTTAATGTTCAATTTTTCTATTAAAATAATTTTCAAGAGCTATAGTTTTTTTTATCAAGTAAACTTGCTATTAGAAACTAATCATTATAGTTTCATTTTTTTTTTGTCATTTTCTAATTCAATTTATTCATGAAGTGCTTCGCTATTAGTTCAATTACAAATACAGTGTGTATAACAGTTTTTCTCTTAGGGTTCTTTCACGAGGGTTCTTTCACGAGGGGTTATACTTTACCATCAAGTTTACCTCACGGTTACTACAATAGACGTTCAATTGTAACCGAAATTGAACCAAAAGGCTAATAGACACCAGCCTAAGTAATTGGACGGTTACTCAGGTCTTCAATCCACTTAACCACAACCAGTAGCCAGGACTAATCTGGTTAATTGTGTCTACTACTACTACTACCTGGAACATTTTGGTATCGTACTAGTTTTAGTTATCCTACTTATTATTATTGTTTATGTACATTCTGTCCCTATTTGTACACCCCGGTGATCACCTCGGTATTTCAGGGAATAATTCATTGCTTGCCCCCAGTGTGGTAAATGAATTATTAAATAGGTAACTTAACTAGACATAACCTGTTGAATTTATGTCAACTTACTGGTAGTTCTGGTTACATAAGTGTAAAATAACCGCTCCAACTTATTATTTATTGTTTTTTTTTTGTTTTGTTTTATTTTTTTTTTCTCTGCAATTTATATTTGCAACTTCTTTATCTGTACATTTTTTTTTTATTATTCATTTGGGTTATTGAGTTTCAATAACATATTTTTGCATTTAAATTTAATTGTTTGTAACGAAGTTACAGAAATTTTCCGTTCACCCACCGAACGCAAACACATTGCGAACTCCCTCTAGGCCAAACACATGATGGACAAGCTCTATGCCCCAACAGGCGTCCGCGTCGCCCAGCCGCCCTACTACTTTACCACCAAAGTGGGGACCGAACCCAGCGAGCCGAAAAAGATTTCGTCAAAGAGGAACTAGCTGACCGACCCCCGACTAGACTAGAAGTCCGAAAAATTATTTAAATACCCAAAAGTGCTTTAAACCGTTTTTCTTTTTTTTTTGAGTTCCTGTAATTAATTTTGTGCCAGTGAATATTCTGCCGGTATGTACCGTTAATTTTAATTTTTTTTCTGCCGTATTCCGAGCTATAACTTCAATTAAAATCCGAGCAGGGCTGTTGGTTGAAAGATGTGGGCTAAGAATCTCCGACTTTAGTCTATTCAGAACGAGATTACTAGCACAGCGTCTTCGACTTTCGAATTGCGTGAGGCACAATTAGTTCTAGTCAATGGAAATAGTTGTCCCGCACGTTTTTCGCCCTGATCTCTGAACCGAAATTTCACTGCAAATTATATTTGG